GCACTGAAAATTATTGAAATCGGAATAAAATTACTGTCGCTTTTCATATAACGGTAAATTTCAGAAATGCTTGAAACTTCAATATTTCGAAATTTAAGGATGCTAAGTTACTCAAAATTGATACACCCCGGCTTACCATGTAGCTGTAGCTTTCGGAAAAGTGAAAAACATATATTTAATACTTGCGCCGGGTATTTAATGTTCGGCTCCGCCTGAACTTAGACTTTCTTCCTTGTTCATTTTTGGTTTCCATGTTTTTACTATGGACGGATGAAACATTTTCGGGTGATTTTTTTTTCGGGCGAAACTCAGGATAAGGCAGAATATAAAGACAACTACGATAATAAAGCCAGAACGAAAAGTTTTAAAATTCACACCAATTACTTTAACAAAAATCTCCAAAATATTAGAACAAATTTACCTTTTTACCAACCCAATTTTTTTCTACCAATTTTGGTAATAAGTTACCAATGTGGCAACCCTGATTATGTGTTTACAATACACTTTTCAATTTCTGAGCGTATTGAAAGTTAGTTTATGCCTCCGTTTTGAATGACAGCGAACTGAACCAAAGCGCTTTATGTGTCAGCATAAACAAAGTAATAGATAGCAACGTAATCCAGTTTATTGGTATGTAATTAGATGGTTAATTTTACAAATCATCTTAAAAGTATCTTTTAAAATTATTAAATTTTAGCCATTAAATATGTAAAAGTCATACAGCAAATTATCATAAAAACTATGATAATCTTTAGGTAAAACTTGTTTAGTTTTTGTGAATGTTGAAATTTAGTTTTTTATTAATTAATTAATAATTAAGATTTTTTAGATTTCTTTTGGAGGGATTTTTTTTTTGTCGGCAGTTTGTACCGAATTATACCGTTATGCAAGTAATGAAGCGCTCGTCGATCAACAACTACATTATCCCCTAATCCTCGGCCGGGTCGTATAGACTCATATTTAAAGGACTTTTGATCACTATAATCATTAAAGAATGAATGATCAATTACACTGGGTCACAAATTTTAGTTTGGCTTTTGTTCTCCAGAAGCCACTATCACTTTTTGTTTTAAGCTGAATAACGTTAAATTGCAAATATCTCAAAAACGTATCCATAGAAAAAAAATTTAACTCGATTTTCGGAATCACCGAGCAATTCTACATAGAAATTGGATAGTGGCGTCTGGAGAATAAAAACCAAACTAAAACTTGTGTTCCAGTGTTATTAACTTGTTATATTTTTACTTACTCGTGCAGGTCTCTAATATATGTATGTATGTTTATATAAATATTTATATATGTATTTCGTACCTTGGAACATAAAGGCACCTGAAATATACGGTGCAAAAACTTAATTTGACCCCCTTTTTTGCCTACAGCTGAAATGTTTTCGTATGTTCAATTAGCTGATAAAATTATCCAAATTAAATACATGTGTCGATATTTTGGTAAAAAGTTTAACATTTGCTTAACTGCATGCATACATACATACATATATGTGTGTAAATTAGGCCGGAACTATCCATATACGAAGGAAAAAAAGCTAAGCTTTCTTTGCAGTGGTGTACATACATACGAGTATGGGCGTATAATGCTTTTGAACAAAAAAGCGCCAATTTCGGTTTTGAACACAAGATTTTGTAAAAAACCCCATTGAAAAAAATATGTTAGCCTTTACTATATTTCAGCGCTTATTGCTAAAAGTAATAATTTAAACAATACCATAGAGAAAAATTAATCCTAGAAAAGAAAAGCCATATGAGCCGGACGAGAGTCGATAAATTTGTAAAACATATGTATGCACTCAGTTGCATAATTTTAAGACCGCCAAATATTAACTGGTTTTGGCTATTTATTTTCATATTATTTAATTTCAATTATTTTGTTATACAAATATAGTTAATTCTTTAACAAGCATCATACAAATCCAATTTTAGTAACGTAACATCAGGTAACGCTAAATCAGATAGTTCAGCTGATTAAAAAAAAGCAGAAATGATTTCTACACTTGAGAAATTAAAGATAAATATTTTTAATATTTCTAATGTTTATTTTAATGTTTAATGTCTATGTTTACTAATATATTTAAATCGCTAATACCAACAGTTGTAATTTTTTACTGAATAAGGGGCCATTTAATCGTTATGCAAATATAGAAAAACCTTCTTAAAATTTTGAGTTTTTAAATTTTTTTTTAAACATACATCTATACATATGTATGAATGTATTTACATATATGGCTAACTGAAAAGTTCTCAAAAGTTATAAAAAGAAATATCCATTGTATAAAAATTTCACAGCCAGAACAGATTAAAATCACCTATCACGTTGCTAAATACATATATAATACACATATTAATTTATTTTAATTAGCCAAATTAACCGTGTGAAATATGCAATTAGTATAGGCCATTAATATTCTGAAAATTGCTATTGATAGATAGTTAGAATTCTAACATATTTGTTATCTAAGGGTTTACAAAGAAAAAACTTGAACTAAATAGTTGTTGTGAAATTGATAGGGACTAAGTGGCATTGTAAAACTTAAAATTTATGTGAAAATAATTATTTAATTTGCTTTTAATTAAAATAAATAACAACTATTTGAACAAAGCGAGCTTTTGATTATTCTAATATAATGCAGCTCTAATAGTGATTTCGTTTCTCCTAAAAAAAAATGTTGCCCTTCCCCGGTGCCAAATGTGTATGATGCTACTACACTCAACCCTGTCAAAGGGCATGTCTTTGCCTTCTTGTCGTTGTCTAGCTCGCGTGTTTTATAATATTGTCGCTTTAGGTCGGTGTTATGCAGACAAACTTTTGTTTGCCAAATTAAATGGCGGCTGCTTAGTTTGCTCGGAGGTGGTTATGTCGAGTTTGGCACAGGGTCGCACGTTCATTATGGTTTTCATGGCTATTGCCAACACGAAATGAGAATTTCAGATGTACATAACGCGCACAATTAATATATTTTTTATGATATCGTATAGGCAATTAACTGTGCCATAATCTTTGAAGCTCCCACAGCATAAATTCAGTTCTCTGGCTTTCGGTATCACGGCAATTTTTGTGTATAGCAACAATTGTCTAAAATTTTTGTATATGACAACACCGAATTTGCTGCAGTTTGACCAAACAAAATTAGTTTGCTGTGAGAGTCCCCAAACTCGCTCTCTCCTAGTTTGCTGCAACAACAATTGCACGCAGTTTGCCAAACAAAATTTCTGCATAACACCGACCTTAAATAGCCAACTGATTTTCAGGGCAACTATCTCCTCTGACAAAGCTTCAAAGGGCAGAGAATGTTGCTTTATTGCCTTACAAGAGTGTGACATTTTGAGAAACGAACAACAAAATTTTCTCACCCTTTGCCTTTAATTTGGAATCGAACACCAAAAAAGAGAAAGAGGCAATCAAAAGACGACATTTTTTGTTAGAAACGAAATCACCATAAGTACATTAGTTTTAATTTTTATTAATTTTTTTCAATCGCATTAAAACTTTCCGTTGTGTAATTTATCAATACATGTATGTACATATGTATTTAGCTAATATTTAATAATTGATAATACAATTTATATTTGCATACAAATTCGTTTCGTAGGGTATTGGCTTTAATTTGCTTAACCTTATTTTAATAGAAATATTAGTATTGCTACACCCAACCTAACCTACAACCAACGCCACAACCAGTTATTCCGTGTATATGTATGTATTTAGTGTTAACTTGTTACAAAATACTTAAACAAGGCTATTAAATAAAATACCATGCTTTGAAAGGAACCCTTTTAATTGTATAAGAATAATACTTATACTCTATGTATGCTTAGAAGTAGGAGAAACCGCAATAATGCATTCAAAAGATTTTAGTTAAGCAACAAATCAGCGCAATTGTATTATAACATTATTTTATTGTCCCAATTTGAATAATTAAACATGTTATTCATATTTATTTAATACCAATTTATAATACCTTAAATGCTGCGCTATTTGAGTGCTTTTGCATGCACCGGTACCTACATACATGTGCACATATGTATGTATGTATGTATGTATGTATGTATGTATGTTCCTTTCACAATAGCAAACAGTCAATCAAAGCAATCTCTCTCATTCAGCGTTGATATATCGGAATTAAGGCGCCGCACAGTGTGCCTAGCAGAACAAACTAGGTGTACAAAATTATCTACCGATATTTTTGGGGTATATAAACATCGTTTTTTTTTCAAACTGGTTCTTAGTTTCGAAATAGTCAGAACGAATTTTGCAAAATTTTTGGTTGCTGAAATTCGGAAAGCTATATTTTCTATTCCCGTGGGCGAAATTGGGAACAAATGGGCACAGATTTGGAAAACGTAGTATGCTATACTTATGTTTACGACTACTGCGTAAAAAGTGCATTTTTTTAAGAAACAAAAAAGTATTTCAGTGCGTTTGTTTTACAGTCATTTTGTTGTAAATCTCCAAAGACTTTGAAATAGATTTCCAAAGACTTTAAAATATAAGGATATTCAATTCATATCTCTATCAGTTGATTAATTAACAGCGTTGCGCCAATCCTCGAAAAATTCTAAACTTTTAATATAGAGCATGGAAAATAATTGTGCGCATTTTTTTTAGTTGAGTGGATGTAAGAAATAATAATAATAATAACAACATGTTGGCGCTTACACTCGCGTTTGCGTATTTGTGCGGTGGTTATCCCGGCGTACGTCTTGATATTATTACACAAATAGAGGGACTTACAGTTTTACGCTGGAAACACATTTAGAGGTTTGACATTGCCTACCGAGGGGCGACCGCTGTTAGAAAAAACTTTTTCTAACTTAGGGCCTGTGCCAATTGATAGAAAAGTTCTATGGTGGAAAAACTTTTTACTATGGTGAGAAAATTTTACATTTCTGCTGTGCCAATTCGTAACTTTTTACTGCTGGAAATTTTTGACAGTTGCTTTGATGCACAAGAAGACTATCGAGTTTGCAATTTATAAAATGCAGCAATTATATAGAAAATATTTGCCTTTGATGATTTCAATTCTTCTGGAACTGAAATCCATGCATTTATTAGACCTTTTAGCAGTAATATTAGAAATAAAAACACGTCAAAACCGTCTGGTAAGTGTGTTCACAAAAATGTTTAAAACCGTGTACAATTGTTTCCAATAAAAACATATGTCGTTTATGTACATGCAACAAGACGTTTATTCCAAAATACTAAGCAGCATTATGAACGGCGATAACAAGACTACAAAAATGCATCTTAGGTTGTCCTCTGCTTCGTTTCGAAAAATTGTAACTCACATTCCCAAAAAGCGCCACGGATGGTTCATCAACGCATTCCATTGTGCTTTACATGCTTCAGCACTTTTACCGTCCAGGCGATCCTTCAGCTCATTCCCGATTTTTCTAAGAAAAAACTTCTTAACAAAGTCTTCAAATTATTTATATTGTTCTTACTCACTGAACCAAACATCCTTGTCAATGCGCTTTTCCAGAAGGATTCTGCGTTCTGAACTGCTCCCTGTAAAATAGTATTCTTAATTAAAAAAATACATAACGCCTTTTCATATGTAAATCTGAAATTAAATCTTACAAGTTATATAGCTTTTCTTTATTTTTTTTTGCCGGCGGGACCATGTTCTTTTATTTCCACTCGCTTTTG